TTTTTTTTTTTTTTTTTTTTTTTTTTTTTCTGACTGGTAAGGGGGTCATAACCCTTGGCACGGTGTGGTCTGCTCCACGCTCAGCCAGCGAGCGCACCGGCCATCCCTATGTAGGATTCGAACCCGCAGCCTTGGTGCTCTCCCCGCGGCCAAAATTGCTCTCCCGAGTGAGCCACAGGGCTGGCCCTTCCCCACTGTTCATGGTGAATTTTCTTCACCACCTCTCTTCCTTACAATTGTCTTCAGCTTATCTTTCCTTGCATCTCATCGTGGGCTTTCTCCTCAGATTTAGGAATGTATTTTTTTTCTTCCTTCCTTTCCCCTGCATTCATGTTTCTCACAGTTTCTTTCCTTTCACATGAAATTTATGGCCCCCATGTGTGCTGTTCTGTGCGTCCTGAGAGGAGCAAAACCTGACCTGTGGCACAGAACACATGAAGGTTCAAGCCACCATGATGAATCTGCTTGTGTGCCCAGCTGATGAAATGCAGTCAGACTAGTCCTATCTGAGCACACACCTGCTCCAACCATCTCACAGGAGAACCAAGCACTTAAGGGCACACAAGCGTTGGAAAATACGATGGCGCTATGTAGGGACAAAGAACCAGAAAGGAAATTCAACTCTAATGTTTTTCCTACTTTTCTAGGCAATAAAATTGCTCCTAGGGAACAGTTGAAGAAAACTAAGCAGCAGATGATGGCAGAGACTTGTGTTCAAGCTCCTTACAACGTTTCTCCCTTTTAAATCTTTTCCAGTTGGCTCATGTATTACCCACAGAAGAGAATTTCCTGCTGCTCTTCCGATGCCAGCAGCTGAAGTCCTGTGAGGAATTCATGAAGGTATAAGAAAGCTGTTACTTTAAGAAAGTGCTGAGAGAAGAAAAATGGTCGGCTTCTTTTTTTTAATGTGTTTGGTTTTCCTTACCCAAAATTGCTTACAGACATGGAGAAAATATGATACTGATCACAGTGGCTTCATAGAAACTGAGGAGCTTAAGGTAAGCAAATAAAAACTGGTGGAAGGGTTTTTCCTTCCAAATACAATTATGAACTGCTAAGGACTTCACAGCTTTTTTAAAAACCTCCCACAAAAGAAACTGATGCTGAGCAATGGCTCATTTTCACCCACTCTTTCACATGGTTAATGAAGCACCAGATCAAAAAAGAAGCATCGAGGGCTTCTTGAAATTCTGTTCAGCAATGCAAGACATTAGCATTTTCTGTGGTGTATACAAACTATTATGTAAGATAGATGACAGAGAAACAGATATAGAAAGAGAGAGAGAGAGATAGGAAGGTGGATAGGTAGAACTATTTACAAGTTTAATAAGCTATCCCTTCTCATCGAAATTTAAAATTTTATTTTACAAATTAAATATCTATATAAATAGATTTCTCTTTCAAATGGAAGACAAAGAAAAAATTATTGGACACCTATTGCATGCCAACTACTTTACACACATTATCCTATTTAATCTTTGCATGAGTCCTATGAGGTTAGAATTACCCCAGTGAGGACAACGGTTGAGAGAAGTTAAGTGATGTATTGAAAGCCACACAGAAATAACACACAGGGCTGCAATGTTTAAACCCAGACTCGTCTCAAGGTCCTTAGACATTCCATACAACCCACTCTCAACAGCAGCAATAGCAACAAAATCCTAATATACTTAAACTCATAAAAAACTGCAACTTTGAAAATGAAGTTATTAATTCATATCACACAGAGGTACGGAGGTGGAATAGGAGGAGGAAGCTATGAAGGGAAAGGCAAAGAGATCTAAAATCAAGTCTTACCTCCAAGCAAATGTCTACATCATTCTATCTGAATTTTGCATCTTTAAAATGGGGGTAATAATGCCTTTCTCTTGGATTTATTGTGAAGCTCAAGTATGATGTTACACATAAAAGATTTTGTAAAATGAAAGGCATAATAAATTATGTCATTCATGAACTCAATTAACTAGCCTTTCAGAACTATGAGGGTACTTCAAAAAGTTCATGGACAAACTTTTTGAAGTACCCTCACAAAAAAAGTATCTTTCATCTTATTTCCTGAAATCAGCCCCAAGACATTTCAGTCCAAAAGACCTTAGTTTCTTTATCTTCAGAATATAGTGACCAGAAGAGAAGCAAGTTAGTATTTATTGAGCACCTACTATGTGGCAGGCAGAGTACTAGGTGCTTGGGATATGTGTTAACATTTAATCCTCATAGAATATGTGCAAGCAGGTATTATCATTCCCAATATACAAACAGAGAGAATGAAGTTGGGAGAGGTTAGATAGTTTTTCAAGATTACACACCGGCCTAGGAAGAGAACCTACATTTGGACCTAGAGTATCTAATAATGCTAGTAATGATTTTTTCCCACAGCACCATACGCTTTCAAGTCTCATTCTTTGAGAGCTTTCATTTCTTCTGGTGCCATGTCTGGAAATATGAATATCAAATACAATTTTCTAGTTGTAGTTTGACATGGTTTGAATAACAGTCAGTTTTAGAGATGGAACTGAGACATTTGCACCATTGCAAAATTACTAAAACATATTAAACTGCAGCCTATTGAAAATGTAAACATTTTTAATGCAAAGTAACTGAAAACAGTGTCTTTTACAAACTTGCAGCTCAGCAACCTAGAGCCCACAAGGTGACAGCTAAGCTATTGTGTTTTTATTCTATTAAACCAAAAAAAAAAATTCTTTTAAAAATCATTTCAAGTTCATAATGAAAACTTTAGCTCATTTCAAATACTGACCTCAAAACATTCCAAAAGTATCCTTCTTTGTTCTAATTTTTATTCTCAGAAAGAGTTTCTAAATAGAAGTCCTCCTCCCTGAGGAATTTTGAAGATAAGTTGGCATTCTTTTTTAATGGATCTTTCAAGAAAGCTAATTTTAAAATCCATAATAGAGTAAAACATTGCTTGCTCTCAGACACGACTTTGAATCTCTGTGTCCCAAGGTTTCTCTAAGGCTATTTTTGTGACCATCATTTTAGTCCCTGATGAGGCTTTTTAACCCAATTAATCTCTGTCAAAAGCCTCATAAGGCTCAAAAATAAAATTCACCCCCAACAGATAACTTTGAATTTTCCATGCTTCACTCTGAATTTGAAGTGGAATGTTTGAAGTGAAAAAAATTTATCAAACCAAGAAAAAGGTCTCCTTCTTTGAAAAGAGTGAAGTCAAAGAAGACCAGAAGAACTGGCACATTTGGAAGGGAGAAAAACCACTGCTGAACCAAAGAAACCTAATTCTTCAGTAATATCTGGGAACATTATCTTCTCAGTTTTCCATAATTGCATTAATTCGTTAACAGAGATGATAAAGGAGTTGCAAATGAACAGCAGTAGACAAAATAAAAGACTATTATACACTTAAGTACTTCCACTGTCATTTATATGGCAAGCTTTTGTAAAGCTTTTATTTGATTTATGTCTGTTAAAAAAAATCACTTCTAAGCTCCAACTGTCAAGTTAATAATCATTTTTTATCCTTCCCACATTAATCTCTATTTTAATATGATTCATACATTCTTCAAAGTTTAGATGACATCATCTGTGGCTGACTGTTTTAGTTTGAATAGTCAGCTAAAGCATTTTAACCAAAGTGTTTTGGATGGCACCAAGCCAAAACATGAACTGGCTCTCTAGAGAAACAAGCTTCGTACTAACTATAAACTGATATGTAAATACAGCCTGCAAGGGCAGAAAATGAGTTTTCAATTAGAGGTAGCTCTCCATCTGGTTTACTGATAATTTTTCACACATGTTGCAAAGGTATAGAGAAAGGCTCTTATGTTTCTTGCAGAAAAGTCACATGAGTACTGGTGAAGATATCAGTAAGTAGAAATACATCCATTGGGCTAGCTGGTTTTAAAAGTTTTTATTCAGATTTCTACACAGTAAATGAAGCAGATAATCCTTTAATTGAAATAATAAATGCATAAAGCACAGGCTACAACAGATCACAGTAAAGAGCAAATATTGTACCCATCAAAGGTAGTTTCATTGCTAGAATGCCAAGAAAATAATGATTTAGTTTTTCTTCTAAGGTCATCTCTTCACCTGGCTCTATTCTCAAAAAGAGACTTTCTTTGCATTTCTGGTATGTTCTGTTTCAGGGCATGCTGAAATGGAAGCAGACTGGACATTATTGATGAAATTTATCTAAGTGTTCTTTGTCTTAACAGAACTTTCTAAAGGACTTGCTAGAAAAAGCAAACAAGACTGTTGATGACACAAAATTAGCAGAGTATACAGACCTAATGGTAAGACTGATCTTGAAAAGATTGTAGCCAAGAGCTCATGAAATATTACTGTATTCTTGCTAATTCCCAAGACTACACGTGCGTTAAGTGCTGTGAAGGTACTGTGAATTTTTACCCCATGGATTTAAATAAATAACCCATAAAACATAGATGCATATTGTAAAAGCAGCTTTATTATATTAGATTGATGGAGTTACACTTTTTAAATACACTAAGAAATAGTCTTATAAAGGATTAGATTATATTTGATGTAGCTGAGGTTTACTTTCAGTCTCTTAGCCTTTTACCTAGAAAGAAAATATTAGAACTTTATTATTGATTGCCTTATACACTAAACAGTAAAATTTATTATAAAGTGAGAATAATCTTCAGTTTCGAAACAACAAAAAAGTTTTCATGGTCATCTTAAATTCCTCATTTCATTTCCATTACAATAGCATTAGCAAACAAATGAGCAGGTCTAAACTCTGAACAATTTTTAAGATTGACAATAACCTACATTTATCAATTTTCTATTTTGTTTTAATCTTAAGGGATGTCTATTTAAAGACTTTTTTTCCAGGTAGAAATTTGAAGGAGCCTTTCAAAAGCCACTCAGATGGGAGTTTCCCCCTGTTGGATTGGTCTATCATGTCTGATTAAATGTCATAAACCAGTTCAAATTATTTTGTTTTAATCTTAAGGGATGTCTATTTAAAGACTTTTTTTCCAGGTAGAAATTTGAAGCAGCCTTTCAAAAGCCACTCAGATGGGAGTTTCCCCCTGTTGGATTGGTCTATCATGTCTGATTAAATGTCATAAACCAGTTCAAATTCAGGAAGCAAATTAATCAAGAACTAATTAAAATGTAAATATATATGTGGAGAAACATCTCCCAATGGGCACTAAACTATGTGATCTAGTTGTCCTGTATCGTGGTAGACAGTGTGACAATTTTAAAATTTGTGGTCCATGGATTATAAAATGCTGTCAGTATAGGACCATGAAAAACATCTGCCTTCTACAAAGGAATCTTAGAACATCTCAAAATGTAGAATACCCTTCCTTTCCTCCTTAAAAAGACCTCCATTAACTAAACCTATATCCATTATAACCTTGATGACATTCCTTTCTTCACAACAAAGGTAATGCTTTTTCACATATTTAATATTCATTTAGAATATATATTTTATATATTTTAATATAATTCATATATACCACTTCTATATATCATATTACAGCAATACTTACTTAGAGTTGCTACTTTCTAAAAACATGAATGCTTCCCAAATACAAGTCTGAGTGTGTTTCTGTCTGTATGTGTCTTGGTGTACTGTGTATGTAAGTGCTCTGGAGGGTTAGGGAGCTTTATTGAGAATCTAGTACACAATGTAAAACCAAACAATTCAAAATTTCTCAAAAATTCTATTCGCTAATTGTGGTTACTAGAGGCTGGGAAGGGGAGAATTTGGGGGGATTGTGAGAAGCTGGTTAATGGACCTAAAAGAGAAGAGCTCAAATGTTCTCATCACATAGAAATGATAAATTTTTGTGGTGATGAATTTGCTAACTACTCTGATTTGATCCTTACACATTGTATACATTGGGTATTGAAATATAACTTTATACCCCATTAATATGTACAACCAATAAGTTTCAATTAAAAAATATAAAGTTATTTTAAAAAACCAAAGGATTTTTTCATGTTATCTGTCTATTGCTTTTGTTTGTATTCTTTCATGCTTCAAAAGGGTGAAACAAATTAAGTAATTATTTTTATACCATTGTTTGTAGAGGTTCCAAACTGTATCCCTCCCACATCTTAATACACATACAAACATACTTGCAAGAAAAAGTGACAGAATTCTGGAAGCCTAGCTGCCAGGACTACTACTACTGTTTAACTATTTTATATTGTTCTGTTAAACTTTGGTAATTGACACGTTACAGAATTGAAAATTTTCACTGAAAGTTTAAAAATTGCTAGTTTCTGAAATGTTACTGTATATATAAGCACTTGATAACTCAAACAGCTTTGTCTTCTGCATTCTATATGTTTATCTCCTTCATTCAATAAATCATTCTTCAATGGCAAGAATAATGACATTCTGTCTTTCAGCTGAAACTATTTGATTCAAATAATGATGGGAAGCTGGAATTAACTGAGATGGCCAGGTGAGTTTAGAAACTATAAAAGTGTTATTATAATAAGCTGATCCTTGTCCAAAAACTCTAATCTATTTATATAACTTCTTTTCCTCACAAGGTTACTACCAGTGCAGGAAAATTTTCTTCTTAAATTTCAGGTATTTTTCTACCTTAATATTTTCCTTGGAAAGAATGTGGAAGATTTGTCAAGGAAGACGTCTGCAATATAGTAACAGCATTTTAACCTTTGCTCTCTGTCTTCTAGGGAGTCAAAATGTGTGGAAAAGAGTTCAATAAGGCTTTTGAGTTATACGATCAGGTAAAACTTTTTTTTTTTTTTTTACTTTTAATTGTGGTGAGAACACTTAACATGAGATCTAGCCTCAACAATTTTTTAAGCATAAAATACAGTATTGTTAACTATAGAGACAACGTTGTACAGCAAATCTTTAGAACTGATTCATCTTGCATAATTGAGACTTTATGCCCATTGACTAGTAACTCCTCATTTCCCCCTTCCTCAGCCTTGGCAATGACCATTGCTCTCTTTGAGCATTGAGTATTTTCGGCACATAATATAAGTGGAATCATCTAGTATTTGTGCTCCTGTGACTAGCTTATTTCACTTAGCATAACACTCTCAAAGTTTATCCATGTTGTCACATGTTGCAGGATTTCCTTTTTTCTAAGGCTGAATAATATTCATATATATATTACAATTTCTTTATTAATCGATCAGTGGAAATTTAGGCTGTTTCTGTGTCTTGGCTATTGTGAATAATGCTGCAATGAACATTGGAGTGCTAATATCTCTTTGAGATCTTGATGTCAAATCTTTTTGATACCCCAGAAGTGGGATTGCTGGATCATATGTAGTTCCATTTTTAATTTTTTGAGGAATCTCCATAATCTCCGTTATCCATAGTGATGGCACCATTTTGCATTCCCACCAACAGTGCTCAAGGGTTCCACTTTCTCCACATCCTCACCAACACTTGCTGTCTTTCATCTTTTGGGTAATAGCATCCTAACAAGTGTGAGGTGATATCTCATTGTGGTTTGAATTTTGAATTAAATTTCCATTTCTCTGATTGTTAGTGATGTTGAACATCTTTTCATATACTCGTTGGCCATTTGTATGTCTTATTTGGAGAAATGTCAAATATTCAAGTCTTTAGCCCATTTTTAAATCAAATTGTTAGGCTTTTTGCTTTTGAGTTGAAGTAGTTCCTTATATTTTGGAAATTAACCCTTTATGTGATATTTGGTTTGCAAATATTTTCTTCCATTCTGTATGTTGCTTTTCACTTTGTTGTTTCCTTGGCTGTGCAGAAGTTTCTTAGTTTGTAGTCCCCACTTTTCTATTTTTGCTTTTGTTACCTGTGCTTACAATTTTATCTCCGTGAAATTATTGCCAAGACCAATGTCAAAGTTTTTACCCATGTTTTCATCTAGGAGTTTTGTTTTTTTTTTTTCCTTTTTGTCTTTTTTTTGTGACTGGCAACAGGATCGCAACCCTCGGTGTCGCGCCCGCACCGCACTCAACCAGTGAGCGGACCGGTCTCTATATGGGATCCGAACCCTCGGCGGGAGCGCCACCGCACTCCCAAGTGCCACACTCTACCGAGTGCACCACCGGGCCGGCCCATCTAGGAGTTTTTACAGTTTCAGATCTTACATTTAAGTCTTTAATCCATTTTGAGTTGATTTTCTTTTTATATGGAGTAAGATAAGGGCCCAATGTCATTATTTTGCATGTGGATATCCAATTTTCCCAACACCATTTTCTGAAGAGACTATCCTTGCCCTACTACATGTTCTTGTCACCCTTGTCAAAGATCAGTTGACCATATATATGGGGACTAATTTGGGGTTCTCTCTTCTGTTCTGTTAGTCTGTCTGTATGCCAGTACATACTGTTTTAATTACTATAGGCTTGTGATATATTTTCAAATCATGAAGTGTGATGCCTCCTGCTTTATTCTTCTTTCTCAAGATTGTCTTGGTTATTTGGGGTCTTTTGTGGTTCTATGTGAATTTTAGTATTTTCTATTTCTGTAAAAAATGCCATTAGGATTTTAAAAGGAATTGCATTGAATCTGTAGATTTCTTTGAGTAGTATGGACCTCTTAACAATATTAAGCTTCAAATCCATCAACACAGGATGTCTTTCCATTTGCTTGTGTCTTCTTTCATTAATATTTTGTAGTTTTCAGTGTATAAGTCTTTCACTTCCTTAGTTATGTTTATTCCTAATTATTTTATTCTTTTTGATGCTATTGTAATTGAGATTTTCTAAACACCTTTTCAGATAGTGTATTATTATTGTACCACAAACATCACTGACGTTCAAATGTTGATTTTGTATCCCGCAATTTTACTGAATTTATTAACTCTTTAACGGTTTTTTGTGGAGTATTTAGGATTTCTCTCTCTCTCTCTCTACACATACACATACACACACACACACACACACACACATACACACGTCATACTAGCTGCAAATAGGGACAATTTAACTTCTTTCTTTACAATTTGGATGCCTTAAAATTTTGTTCCTATCTATAATATAATTCTTGAGAAGAACTTGGAAAACACTAAGGGGAAAAAACCCTCGAACTCAAGGTTATATTAAAATAAACATAGGTCATTAAAATTATATAACCAATTCACTCTTTTCATAGAAAATGTATGATGGTATGCCCCAGATTGCACAAACCTTGATACAAATCCCACACTATGATTTATTTGCTGAGGCTTTAAACAAGATACCAAACTCCTCTGAGCCTCAATTTTTTCATTTGTAAGCAAGAGATAATTACAATACCCACTTTGCAGGGTTGAATGAGGATTAAGCTAAATGAAAATATCCAGCAGAATCCTTCCACATAGTAGATGTTAATATCAGGTGTGTGAGCAAAGGATGTTTGTGATATCACTAGTTCACGTCCCTTCCTTCTGCTAATTTCTCTACTCCTGGACCTGTGGGCTCTAGTACAACTCGGCCACTGCCTGCTGTGACATCCAGCCACATTGCTTCCCAGGCCTCAGTGTCCTCACTTGAACATGTTATGAACTGCTTACTTACTTCAACAGGAGGCAATATCCTTAACATAAAATGAAATAGTAAATGTGAAGGTACTTTGAAAATTTCAAGGTATTTTACAAATGTAAGGTGTTGAATGAGAGGCAATTCATATCTATTCTGCAACTTTGGAGCAGCTAAAAATTTTGAGGGCCTGACATAACAGGTTAGAATATCAGCCAAGTTGGAAGATTTCCTGAAGATTCCAATTCTTTCCATTTTACTTCATTCCCCACTACTGTGGATGGAGTTGGTTGTATACTGTTTTATTTCTCCTTCCCCAGGATGGCAATGGATACATAGATGAAAATGAACTGGATGCTTTACTGAAGGATCTGTGTGAGAAGAATAAACAGGTAACTTAGTTACCATGCCACTTACTTCTTAAGCAGACTTTACGGATCCATCCAGAAGCAACCTCACATCCATTTTGGAAATCTATTTAAAAAATTTATAGAGGAGCAGAAATAGATTTCAATTCTTAACTCAATTTGGTTCTGTCCTAAATCTGTAAAACTGTGATAAATAGATTTTAAAAACAACCTCGTGATTATTCACATTTGTGTAAGAATTTAATCCAGCTCTTTTCTTAATGGATTGATGTAACAAGCAGTTTTCATCTCACATTTTATCACTTGACATTGGTTAATTAACTTCCATATTTAACTGGATAACAATGCAACCTATGTTCTATGCAGGACCTGGATATTAATAATATTCCAACATACAAGAAGAGCATAATGGCTTTGTCGGATGGAGGGAAGCTGTACCGAACGGATCTTGCTCTTATTCTCTGTGCTGGGGACAACTAGAGTTGGCCACTACCACTTGCTAGTGATACATTGTATCTAAAACATAACTGTGCACTATAAGGGAGTAGGCTGTATTTTCTTTTATATCTGTAAATTTAACTGCATATAGATAATTATCCAGGATGTGTGGCTCATTCTTTTCATCTAGTTTCTATACTGTTTGTAATGTACAGTTTTTGTAACTATATGATTGAAAAGGAGAAAGTCTGTGCTCAGGCCAGTTAGTACCACCAATTAAAAAGAAAAGAATAACCTAACATATTATTGCTTTTATAAATACAGTTGGACATGATTTCCCTAAAAATTACACCAGTATTAATCTCTAAAATTCTAGTCTCTGATATGTAAACACATTTGTCACTGAATAAAATAATTAAACACAACAGACAAACATTCTTACTTTAGACAATCAGAGGACTGTCCCACAAGGTATTTCTAAGTTATATTTTCAACTATTAGGAGAATTGTGCTTTTGCATCTAAAATACTCACCAAAATACCAATAAATAGTTAATTGTGGCTTTATGAAACTAACAGCCTCGCTAGAGGAGACTTAGTTTACTAATCAACATCCTGTCTACTGCTTGAATCCGTACCAAATTATTAGTTCAAGTTGACTTGGTGACAAAGGAAGGTAGCACCAGATGACACAAAAATCCATCTGATTCTATGCCTGTATTTCCAACAAGCCTACTGTCAAAGAGTATGACCTTAATCCATTTTCTAAACTGTTTTCACATGTGGCAGATTATAATTAGTCTAGTATACTGCTGTTTTATGTCATATTCTGTGTAATCTCTGATTAAATTTAATATACTGAGTATCCTGGTGTCTAGTTTGCATACTTCCTGGATTTTCTGTCTATGTAGAACTGTTCATTTCCACCAATGGTATCTGCTGCCTCTGAAAATATTTTTTTCTAGCTATAACAACTCTATTTTTTACTACATAATTGAATTTTAATGTAAAATTCATAGCATCCTGATTATAGAATATTATATCATCGATACTTTTGTGTATTCTGTGAATTCTATATTTCATATTGAGATCAGCACTTAAAACAGTTCTATTTCTATCTGCATATAGTTTTAAATGAGTCAAAAAAAAAATAACGACTGAAGAGAAATGCTAATGTAGTCATTTATCTTATCTAGCAAGGGAGATTCTATAACAGTCTTTGATCCACATCCAAGTCACGGTTTCACATATTTGTAGCTACAATATCCTATACTGGTTATAGTTAATACATAATGGTTGGTGAGTATTAACTCAGGGAGATTCTATAACAGTCTTTGATCCACATCCAAGTCACGGTTTCACATATTTGTAGCTATAATATCCTATACTGGTTATAGTTAATACATAATGGTTGGTGAGTATTAACTGATTCATTGATTGTGAAGCAGGGAGCTATGAGAGATTTATCTGTGTGAAATTTATAAAGTCACTACCAAAGAGTAATGATGGCTTCAGGTCAGTGTGAATGTCCTCATTCTATAAATTCAACACTTATTTCCTCATTTTATAAAAATAACAAAAAATAGAACCTATCTCTTTCCCTCAAGAATGACCAGAAAAGAGATCTGCCATAAAATTAACATTTATCAAATGATGTAAGTAAGTGGTAGATTGGCTTTGCCTCTAGCATGTAAATGGAAGCACTGACATTAGACTGAATTTAACTACTAAGAATAAATAAAGAAGAAAATAACCTTAATCTGTTGTATTTGTTTCTTTTTCAAAATGTTGGTTGACATGTATTCCATGATCAATCCAGATGAAAATATAAGAAACTCAAATTATTATGGCCTAAGGAATCTAAATGAATGTAAACTTGACTCAGTGAATTATTAGATGCCTCACTGAATTATGTGGTGTCTCATATTAAGATTTACAAATTAAGAAATCTCAAAAAATCCAAATATTAAAAGATTTTTGCCCAACTGACTCAGTCAAGTATTCCTTCATGGAAGATCTCCAAAGGAATAGGAGGAACATACAGAATTTTTCGTCTGTACAAAAATAGCTGTTCACGACAAAATATATACCAAAACTACACCAGGTTTGGTATTCTTACAATAACAGCATGGAAAAAGAAAAAAACACCACCACAAAATATGATGGGAGTATTTCCAAAGAGACTTCTTAGATGGCTGACAGTAATAAGAGTCACAAATCTAGCACCAGAACTATCACAGTGGTCTTTAATTCCTGAGCACTGCGAGGCAAAGAAATTCTTGTACCTCAGCTGAACCAGTTACACTTACATATAGATGACAGGTCTTCTTCCTGGGGCAGAGAACAGGTGAAAAATGAAAAGAAATGAATCTGTAAGAGCAAATGTAAGATTGCCAGTACGATGCCTACTTCACACCACAAACAAAATTCATCCCAAGTTTATTACAAATCTAAATGTGAAAGTTATACAGACAACAACATAGGAGAATATCTTTAATACCTCATGCATAAAAATATTTCTTATCAACCAAGTATAAAGAAGCTGATTGAAAAATTGAATACTATTAAGAACTTCCGTTCACAAAAAGACACTATTAAGAGCGAAAAATCAAATTTCAGGGTAGGAGGAGATGTTTGCAACACACATAACTGACACAGGCCCATATCTAGAATACATAAACATTACTCCTAAAAAGCAATTTTAAAAAATATAACCCAATAGAAAAACGTGTAAGGAATTTGAACAGTCATTTCACAAATAAAAAGGTATCTAAATGTATAAACATATAAACATATAAAACATTTTAAAAGTAATCAACTTTATTAGCAATAAGGAGAAATGCAAATTAAAACAAATGAGATACCATCATACGCTCATCAGAAAGGCTAAAAGTGAAGACATTTAAAATGATAAGTTTGGGGAAGATGCGCACAGTGGAAATTCTCACACACTGCTTGGTGAGAAGTTAAACTGTGAACATTTTGGAAAGCTCTTTGGCAGTATTTACTAAATTTGAACATATGCACACCCTATAACCCAGCAATTTTGCTTCTAGGTATTATCAACCTAACAGAAAAAGATGTATATAATTATTTTCACCAAAAGAATAAGAATGTTCACAGCAGCATTGTATTTGGCACAGCCTCAAACTAGAAACAACCCAAATGCCCACCAACAGCAGAATTAACAAATTGTGGTATATTCAGATATACCACATATTCAGTGGAGTATTATATAACAGTGAGAATGCATAAGCAATTGCTACACAGAAAAAAAAAAAGCCAGAAACAGAAGAATACATATTGTGATTCCATTCACATAAATTTCAAAAGCAGCTTAACATACTGAGTTAGAAATCAAGATAGTGGTTAGTTTTAGCAAGGAAAAAGGAAGTTATGATGGGAGACAGGAGGGAGGCTTCTGGATGCCTGGTGTGTTCTATTTCTTGACCTGGGTAGTGGTTACACAAATGTACTCGTTTTGTGATAATTCATGATTTTTGCACTGTTAGAAGTCATACTTGAATTAAAAAGTTAAAAAGATTAATTAGCTTTTTCCCTTTTAAAGGCTTTTGCAATATAACTGTATCTCATTAGGACCGTTATTGTCTCTTGATCTAAGTCATAATCGCAAGAAACGTCCAAATTGGTGAGAGACATGAGCTTTACTGTGTGACCTGGAGCAAGTTGCATCACACTTTCCTCAGCTGTAAAATGAAAGGACTGAGAATTAGTATCTTCTAAGGCTCTTCAGCAATAAAATTAAATTCCATTAAATTACTCCTAAAAAGCAATTTTAAAAAATATAACCCAATAGAAAAATGTGTAAGGAATTTGAACAGTCATTTCACAAGTAAGATATCTAAATGTATAAACATATAAAACATATAAAAACATTTCGGAGGTGTTTTCACATATTAATTGTAAGATAAGTGATACTGTTACCGATAATCCTCACTTTAATTTATTGAGTATTAACTCTTCCATTTGTGCCAATAGAGGCAGGACTCTTACAGAATAGACAAAGTCTATGGGCCGGCCCGGTGGTGCACTGGAGAGTGTGCCACTTGGGAGCACAGCAGCACTCCCACCGAGGGTTCGGATCCCATGTGGAGACCGGTTCCCGCTCACTGGCTGAGCACGGTGTGGGCGCAACACCGAGGGTTGCGATCCCGTTGCCGGTCAGTAAAAAAGACAAAAAGGGGAAAAAAAAAAAAAAGAATAGACAAAGTCTAAATAGAATGACAAAGTAATAATTCTGAAGGTGAAATATTGATGTGGTTACAGTCTGAAGGTGGTCTGTTACAGAGTATAGTGATTATCCATCAACAATGTTTCTCTTCAGACTCAGGAAAAAATGTCTAATAGTCGAGAGCCTCATGATCTCTCTTTTCTGGTTCCCTCTGTCATGCTTGCAAGCTTTGCTTCCTCACCCATCATCTGTAATAACATACAATAATGAGGCAAACTCTAAGAGATGCCTTATAGAAGAAAAAACTATATTCGAATTCATGCAAATCAAAATTTGTATAATATCCTATTGAGACACCAACAGACAATACTTTTTTAACCTAATGAATTTCGTTTGTAAAAAAAGTACAAACAAGAAAATTCACAAGTGTAGAAAAGTATTCAATCTCATTAGTAGTTAAACATATTTTTAAAGGAGCTATCATTTGTTCCTTACAAAGTTAGTAAATAGTTTTAATTGTTGGCAGGTGTTTTTTGAAATTGGCATTGTCATACACTACTCAGCGGGGTTTAAACCCATAAAAATTTTTGGAATAACAACTTAGAAATGTACATCAAGGGCCTTCAAGAGCTTCATAACCTTTGATTAATACTACTACTTCTAGGACTCCATCATAAGGATTCTAAAAATGTTTTATGCACAAACATGTTCACCACACTTTTATGACACTGAAAAAAATCCTAAGTCTAAAAATAAAGAATTAAATAAATTATGATACACATAAACAATAGTATACTAAAAATCATGTTCATAAAAGCCAGGATGATTTATTATACAATCTGAACTATTTAAAAAAAGAGGGATTTTGAGAAAATATTGGGGAAAAACAATAAAGTTATAAACATGTCAATACTGAATATCAATTTAACGAAAAATAGGTATATGGTTATGTAGAATTAGTGGAGGGGAAGAGTATGTGTTTGGTGAGAGGTGGGAGGTGGAAGGTCGGTATGGAAATGGATTAAGAATGCTAAACCTTCATCATTCAGGGAAGAAAGTCAACAAAGTTTATAAAATTGGAAAAAAAATCAAGAAATAGCAAAATAAAGTATGTTGCTTTTAAAAATAGAAGTATATTCCAGAAGACAAAGAAACAGTTAAAAGAGTTGAGGACAATTGCTATGGGAAGTGAGTGGGGACTCACTTGGAGTGGGGACTGCGGTAGACTCTGTATAAATTATATGCACAAATTACTTCCACAAGAAATAGAAATTAACTAAAAGAACAAAAGGCTGCAGATAAATACACCAAAGTACTAACAGAAGTTTTCTTCAGGAGGTTCGTGAATTTTTCATCTTTTTCTTATTCTTTTGTATTCTCTCATTTTCTACGATAACCATGTCTTAAAAGTGAAAGAGTAGGAAAAGACAGGAAGGCCCATCTTTCATTTGTGTATTTTACATATTGCACAGTGTTTACCTATTTCATCTCACTTAATCCTCATAACAACCCCATGAAGCAGATGTCATAATCCTATATGTTGCAGATGAAGAAAATAAGAAGTGATGAAACTTATACAAGGTCATACAACTACTGGCACTTTTTTTCTTACACTATGAGAAGTATTGATAATTTAAAGAAGAAAGATATGGATGTGTGAGAAGAAAATCAGAGTTAATGCTAAAGGTAAAATGGAGACTGGGTATCTGTATTGCAAGAGTGCAGAAAGAGTGTAACATCGTGAAAAGCTCAGTATAATTGGGAATGTCAATTAAAAGCTGGTATAATTGGGAATGTCAAGGCCACTTATTCCGAATCTGTAATGTTACCCTTGTATGTACACAATTAAATGTAAAAAATGTAATTTATGTACACACCTATCAATGTAATAGGGGTTTCTGTATAGTGCTTATAGCATATAAATTCGAACAGAAAAACTAAATTCCTTTGTAAATCTATTCAGATGAGGTAAGAGGAAAGCTGGTTTTCTCTCCTGGCAATTTGGACAATGGAGAGAGTCTAGAGAGCATGTTACAAGTGATTCCTATGAAAGCAAAATGGACATTTAAAAAATATAGGCTCGAAATTATAGCTCTGTTGACTTGCGACTTTGGCTTTCTTATTATTTGCTTCTCAGGATAACAAATTAGTCAAACCAAATATAAAATTAAATTACACACAAAAATATTTTATAAGCTTTGTTCATCTTCTCTCCCATAGAAATCTATTCTTCTTTCAAAGCTGAGATTGAATGCTTTCTCCTACGTGTCACTTTCTCTAAACTCTGGAGACAATGAATTACTTCCTCCTCCACACTTTAATGGTGCTGGAATAATATTTATCACAATGTATCATAAATAATTATTTATAGGTCTGTCTATCCTGCTAGATAATGAGTTTCATGAGGGCAAGGGCTGTAGATTATTCAGTATCTAATAAAATACCTGGCTACAAAATAGGTCCTGGGAAAACTTCAAGGGTTGAGATAATATTGAGCTATCTGAAGATAATTCACAAATCCAAGTAGCAGCAGCAGATGAGAAATATACTGGAAAGGCAGAATCCATTAAATTTAGTGTAGATCCTTTAATTTCTTCCTTTTGCCCCATCACTATAGGCATACTATATATGTAACTCAGATGCTACTTCAGACATTAAGTTTCTCCTGATTTTCCAGGTCACAAATATCTGTTCCCTTCTCTGTACTTCCAAGCACTTTTTACCTCTATCAAAGCCTTCACCCACTTTCCCTCTTTTCTATTTTTTGAAGATCTTTTGAAGAGACAATGTCCCATCTTATTTATCTTTGAATATACAATGGCTGCCACTGGCCTGGAACATAATCCACACTCAATGAATGTTTGTTAATTAACAATTTATTAGACTTGAAAATACTCAAAATATTATAGATAGTTTGTATTATTTCTATTCCCTGACTTTATTCTGTAACCAAGATGAAGGCCAGAGTGGTCTTAAGATCCTTTTGTCTTCCTGATGAGTCCCTCCATTATGTCCCATTCTTCCTTGGTGACCTAACACAAAAAGAAAATGTCAATTTAATGTGTTTCTTGTGTGATTTTAAAGCTTAGTATCCTAGCTGCTAACATTATATACACGAAAGGCATTACCTTCCTCAGGCTATTGAATTCACCTGAAATAAACACTTCTTCTCCACCATCAAATCTTATGACCTGAAAAAAAATATATATTAAAAATTTTGAAACTAACTCCTGGTTTCTGAACCAGCAGCCATTTTCCCATACTAATTGGATGGAACGTCTCCTTGGCACTTCCAATGAAAGCCCAAATTTTAAGATAAAACTGATGATTAAATCTGAATTAATTTACTCTAGTTAGAATCCTCTTTCCACCATCTTCTCAAGTTCAAATTCTACAGTCTTAAAAATCATCTTAAAGGCATGTCTACCAGAATAACATTAATTTAATTAATCAATGAGTAAATTTCATAGGCTAAATTATATATAAATATAATATTTTGATAGTATTTACAGCTGAGTAAATATTTTAAATCATATTTACATTCAGTATTGCCAGGATTGGTTCCACAATAGGCCTCCCCATCCCAAACTCATCCCCCTCCCAAAAGTCAAGAGACACATCACTGCTTACTGCTCCATTAATCCAAGAAGCATAATCACTACAAAGGAAAGCAGCAAGATTTGCAAGTTCTTCCACAGTTCCTAGACGACCACAGGGAATTCTGTCAATCATTTCTTTTTCAAATGTTCCAGTTGGGTCAAGACGGCTAAAGGCACCCTTAGAAATTAAGAAAGCAATTAGGTTGTGGTTGTTTTGTTTAATTCAACCCCTTTCCTACTTAAGAAACAAATTATCATAAAATGGAATGCTACCACAGTAGCCTGTCCATACCATAGGCCTTATAAATAACAGAATTTCAACAAATTCTTTCACATTCACTATAGCCCAAAACATACCACGTTACCTAACTTTGGCCTAAAAACAAAAACAAAACCACTGGAAAACATAACCTTTTTATCTTACTTTCTTCTCTGCAAAATGAGGATATCTATCTTAACTACCTCCCAAAATTGTTATAAGCAGCAGATGAGAAAATATATATAAAATACTCTGCAATATGTACAAGCTTAGTGTGGTGGGGGTAGTGGCACTCCTGTCATTTAATTTAGTAAACACAGAAAAGTGACTCAAGTAGGAAATATTTCAGAGGAAGTTCCTGTTCTCCTTTCTTCCTAAAATAATAGGAAAGGAAGAAAACAAGTATTTAGAAATATTAAATTCAAGTAGATCCTAGAGAGAGAAAAACCATAACTAAATTGACCAAACAATTTCTGCTTTGTGTTAGTGATGTGAAGGAAGAAACCATGAGGATGGATATGCACTGATTAATAAAAATGACTGGGTTTTTCTGTACTGGTGCCTTGAAGTCTAGGTAACAGTTTTGTGCAATAACACAGGAATGAGACAGAGCAAACACCCAGGAGGCTACTTGTGAGCCCTCCAGTTCTCCCTGGGCAGAGACAAAGGGTAGCATGTGGTCCCAGTATTAGTTCTATGAGTGTTTATAGGGGATTTCTATATTTCAGTTTCCTTTTCAATCTGTTTCAAACTAAAAACTTATTATTTGGGTACAACTCATATCTATACTTCTAGACAATAAGCTCCTTGATGGCAAGCACTTTCTCACAAATGTTCTTGTATCTTTCTCAGTACCTTTGCACACAGTGGGCACTCAATAAATATATCTTAAATAAATAAATAAAATGTGGGTGATCTTTCCTATATATTGAGGCCCTAGGAAGAAGCTTCAATGACTAGAGTTCTTCTCAGATAGTGCTTAGGAGAGGGCCACCCTGAATCATGTGTTTTTTAATGCTTTTGAGTTATTTTTCCACTAATTTCATTAGACTTTTTATTATTGAAGTGTCAGATAAATAAGATATTCGATCAAGTTTTACTCAGGTAATTTTTCTATTTTCCACTCTTTAAACTGCTACATAAACTAATACAGCCTTTTGCATGTTAATATTTAATACTCCAAAGCTGCCAACAACCTAAGCAGTTCCTCAGTATTATTTTCCAATGTGTTTTTACAACACAAGTTATGAAACTTTGGCTGGGCTTTCAAAGCTACATCCTGGTTGGGGTCATAAATTCTTGCTTTACATGAAAACAAAAAGCATGAGAGTGAAGGTATTTGGGGTAATGCGAGTGAACAGAGAATCTGTGGACATTGTGAGCAACGCTGGTAACAGAATGAGTGATAATTATGAGTTGCGATGAGTAACTGTAAGAACTATTAATTATAGGTAAAATGCATACCATCAGAAGGATTTTTCATCAGAGAAACGTGGGAGTTAGATGACATGAATAATTGACTGTTGAAAGTGAAAAAGCACAAGCATGAGTCAAAGAAAACGCTACCTATAGCAAGATCAAGCCTGTATGATAAATTTCTAGAGCGTCTCTTAAACTAAAAATATAGTTACATTTGTACGATTTAAAATAAAAAGATGTTAGTCAAAGTAAGAATCTTTAAAACATGGTGAAAAATAAGAAATACAGGACAGTTACAGATTATTGAAGCAAATCAAACAAAATTCCAAAACTGATGGCATAAAAGACCTGGGAAATTAAGATGCTAAAATACAATTTATCAAGAAATTGCATTACATCCTGGTTGGGGTCATAAATTCTTGCTTTACATGAAAACAAAAAGCATGAGAGTGAAGTTATTTGGGGTAATGTGAGTGAACAGAGAATCTGTGGACATTGTGAGCAACGCTGGTAACAGAATGAGTGATAATTATGAGTTGCCATGAGTATCTGTAAGAACTATTAATTATAGGTAAAATGCATACCATCAGAAGGATTTTTCATCAGAGAAACGTGGGAGTTAGATGACATGAATAATTGACTGTTGAAAGTGAAAAAGCACAAGCATGAGTCAAAGAAAACGCTACCTATAGCAAGATCAAGCCTGTATGATAAATTTCTAGAGCGTCTCTTAAACTAAAAATATAGTTACATTTGTACGATTTAAAATAAAAGGATGTTAGTCAAAGTAAGAGTCTTTAAAACATGGTGAAAAATAAGAAATACAGGACAGTTACAGATTATTGAAGCAAATCTAACAAAATTCCAAAACTGATGGCATAAAAGACCCGGGAAATTAAGATGCTAAAATACAATTTATCAAGAAATTGCATACGATTATACCCCTGCCTTCCTCATTTCTTATATTGGATAATGGCAAAAGCCTCTTCCCTATGACAAGGGCTCCAAACCCAGGCATCCCTGGAAAGTACTTCACACCACAACCAGAATACATCTATCATCGCTTTATTCTTTAATCGTTCACAATATGATAATAAGTAAACTACGACTTACTTTGGTTTTTATAGGCCCTGGTTGAATCACATTGAATCGCATTCCATATTTGCCCCATTCAGCTGCAAGAGACCTAAAAATTAAAATCAACAACATATGAGAGGTTTTCAAAAAGTTCATGGAAAGATTCATATTATCTTTTAATTCTATTTTTCCACGAACTTTTTGAAGTACCCTCATATATTCTAAAATATTATACCATAAGTTAAAAACACTAATAAATAGGACCCACTACATGCTTACTACTTACAAAAGAGTATAACCCCAACAGATAGGTAGTATTATTATTCCCTATGTTATAAATAAGGTAACTGAGACAAGGAGAGGTTAAATCATTTTCTCTACATCATATGGCTAATCTGTCAACTTCAGTGGTCTAGCTCCAGAGTTTGTGCCCTTAATCACTCTACTGTACCACCTACCATGTACATTTTAGTGTCCTTAATCACTATGCTACACTACCTATCATTTATACAATTTAGAACAAGAAATCCAATATCAATATACATTTATATGTATATTGATAGAGTAGGTATTCATTCAAATGTGAGAGCTTCATGACCTCTCTTCACATTTTCTGGAGTTCAGTCCTGTATTTACAAAATTTACTATTACTTTACTTATAACCTTGTGCATTGGATTACAATGTCTTCGACATCACAAGTGCTTTAATTGAGTAAGAGATGGATTACATAGATTTAAAATATTAACCACATCCATGTTTAATGAGACTTTAATAAAATTATTGAACTGAGCTTGAAAGGAAATAGGAATCTAACAAAATCTTGCTAAATGTACTGAAGCAAAATATAAGACTAATAGCAAACATGGAAACTTGAAGCGACCTCTTTTAAAAGCCTAGTTGATAGATAGGTCTAACTGTTTTTATCTAAACTTATTTTAGGAATTTATATTGGTATGTATATTTGTGTGCATATATATTTAATCTAGTTTCAAAAATGGCTTCAAGTAGCTTAAAAGAACACAAATAACACAAATAAGGAACATAAGATCATTGGAAGGGAGGAAGGGAAGGGAAGAAACTAGGATAAGGAAATATAAAGGAGCCAAAAATGAAGCTAATATTTAAATGTATTGTGAAGTTCCATATAATTACCATAGGCAGATCACAAATTTGTATCTACTCTTTCCATAACCCTATGAAAAAAAGGTAAGCCTAATCAGTTACACAATTCACAGTGCTCATAAGGAAAGAGCAAGCAAATTACTCAGGAAAAGCACAATTGCTTCTAATACAAAAACCAGATAAACATGTCTTCCCAGAAGATTCATAAAAGGAAAACTGAGTAATATAATAATGTCCTTAAGACAATGAACCCTTGCAATAGATAAAATGGGGTAAATTTTATGAAACTGTAAAATATCCATCAATATAGACTGACAGTATCACTTCAAAGGCCAATTCAGTAAAACCAGTTCTACGGAACAGGGGACATGTGATCCAAGTACAGCTGGTTAATCTGACTTAATCCACAGATGAGTTTTGGAAAAATAGGTGGGCTGCATCTCTTTCAGGCAAATCATACATAAAAATGGCTCCTCTGAGTGAACTTTGACAAAGTTCATAACCACACCTACCCTGGGCATGTACTTGGGGTGCACACACTCTAAATTGCTTGAGAAGTAGTAACTTCGTGTCTTAACGGAATAACTGAACTGAGCAGAGTCTATGAAAAGCTGAGCTATCTTTTGAGAAAACCTGCCTAGAGGAAAAGCCACTCTACTTCCACTCAGAGGTGTGCCAGATAAATTTGTTCCTTTGCTAGCAAGATCTATCAGCTCTCATTAAGCTAGCTTATATACTGAAGAGCTTGTAATATGACAAGGAATCCACCTCATACGGTTAGCTCTGCATGTTAAGATGCTAAGCACAATATACTCAGTACATATTAGCCACTATTGTAGTTCATTCAACATATGTTTATGATGTGCTCACCACGTGCCAACACCCTATAAGCAGTGTTTAGCCTCAAAGAAAGAAAGTCTCTGCTCTCAAGAGAGGTCCCTTTGATTGTATAATGAACTAGTTACTATACTGGAAATTATAATGTGTGCCATGGCTGCTTGAAGAAAGAAGCACCTAAGTCTACTGGGAGTGACAGGGAAGGCTTCCTCAAGGTGGTGATATTTGAGCTGGCACTTGAAGGAGGATTAGGAGTTTGCTGCAAGAGGTGGGGGAAGGAGAAGGAAATGGGAGATTACAGAAAATCGGATGGAGAAGGGAAGACAGCCCAGGCATATGGGTCAGTATAAGCAAAGGAAAAAGTATAAATACAAACACCATGCAGTATTTAGGAACCAACAAGGCAGTATTCAGTATGACCATGTACTATAAAGTATGAGAAGAGGGCTGATGGGAACGTGGGCTGTAAAGGAACACACATATTTAGCACAGAATTATAGCCCTTAAAGGACGTGAAACTGAAACCTCTAACAAGATTCAAAGGTCCCAGCAAAACAAATATTGATGTTGTATGAATGTTGCCAAAATACTCATAGTCAAATTCCGATCCTTTATTTCCAATACTATTTGACATTTTAAAAGGTAATTATCTCTATTCAGACTAATAGTCAACTTCTGAATAAAGTAATGCTTTTCTCTATCTTAAATGAATGTTAATGTTGCCAAAATACTCATAGTCAAATTCCGATCCTTTATTTCCAATACTATTTGACATTTAAAAAGGTAATTATCTCTATTCAGACTAATAGTCAACTTCTGAATAAAGTAATGCTTTTCTCTATCTTAAATGAATGTCTATTGTTAATTTAAATGTTAAAAGGTACTTAGCACTACTGGAAGAAAGAGAACAATAATGCAGTTCAAAAAGCACTGAGCACCAGCTTTGTGCCAGATCCTTCTGGGTAATGAGGATACAGACATATGGCCCCTTCTCGCACAGAACTCACGCTAGCAGGAAAGTCAGATAGCTGTAATGTTATGTTAAAAAGCTTAGCATGCCCTTCTCTGTGCTTCTACTACCTTCATTTAGAATCTGTTTATTAGTGTGTTTGTCCTCTTACTAGATTAGATTAAACAAAGATGTGAGGCACAGAGAATAGGGAATGATTAATTCTGTGTAGAGAAATGAGAGAAAACATCCCAGAGGAGGTAAGATGATGTTAAGCTTGAAAGCAGGCAAAACATCACAGCAAATTCCAACAGCAACATAACCCAGGCACAGACGTACAAAAATGTGTCACACATTTAAGGAGACATAGAAGAGTTCTAAGGAAATTAAAGCACTGAAATAATGGATGGAAGAGTACAAGAATTTAAGCTCAGTTGAGGGTGAGGACTGTTCTATTTCTATCACCGTCATATCCCTGGTACCTAGCATAGTGCCAGATACACAAAAGGCACGTGATAAATTAATTAATAAACAAAGGTCGGGAACAAGTCTGTTTAGAATATTTACTGAGTTTTGGATTTTATTTCAAAGAATAACAGGAAACAATCTAAGGTTTGTAGCTAGGAGTATCATGAGCAGATATATATTTTTAGAAAAATAATTCTGGTGGGAATATGAATAAAAAATAAAGGGGGGAAGAGACGAGTAGCAGAAAAATACATTATAGATTATTACAGTAAGCCAGACAAGCAGTGATGCGAACCTCCATTACAACAAAGACAAGGGAAACGGCCAATGGGGAACAGGTTCAAAAAGCAATCATACTCTGCTGAGAAAAGGCCACAGACTTGGCCAAGTGCTCACAGTCTGTGTTAGGTACAATAAAAGGATGAAGATGTGTTTATGAGAGGTTAGGGATGGCACTGGTAAAAATACATGGGAGAGCAAAAAAGGCCACAGACCTGTGGTGTCTAATAAGTAGCCACTAGCCACGTGTGGCTAGTTAATTTTAATTTTACATCTTAAAATTTTACTGTTTCAGTCATAGCAGCCACACTTCAAGGATTTAATGGCTACATGTGGCTATTGGATAGTGCAGATTTACAGAACATTTCCATCACTGTGGGAAGTTCTATAGGACAGCGCTGCTACAGACAAACAGGACATATTCAGAATGTGTCTCCTGGTGAATCCAAATTAGTCTTTGTTTTACTTTTCTCTGAAAGGAAACCAGAAAGCAGTAACTTAGTTCCATGAGCTACCAAAGTACATTATTTGTCTTCAGTGACAGGATTAACTCACTTGTTCATGGCTTCCACCCCTGCTTTGGCAGAAGCACTTGGTACCACAAAACCTGATCCAGACTCAGCATAGATAGTTGTAATAGCAAGAAAGGCTGCTCCTGGAATTTTAAAAGGATACAGTTAATTAACAACATGGCTATATCAATTCATATCAGGAAAATATGATTTATAAGAATGGGATCTGATTCAAGAGGGTATAACAACTAAAGCATTTTTTAAAACTTCAGTAGCCCTACATTAATAAGAGAGTAATCTAAGAAAAATTCTGTCTTTCTTCCTAATCTTGCTGTCATTTAGGATGGCCCAGACTTCACTTATTTGGAATTCTATACCAAATGTGTAAATACGAAGGCCAAATCTCAGAGGCATGCCCCTATAACACCCTGCATAATCAGCTGGAGAGTATTCCCATTAACTAAGCACCAGTTAAATACAAATAAATCAGAATTAAAACTAAATTAGCAGGGACTTCTGCCCCCAGCCATAATGGATTTGCCTTTCTCCTGCAAACATTAAGAAAACTATATAAAATATACGCTACAACTATTTTCAGATACTTTACAGCAGTCTCAGAATGATAGTGATCCCTGAGAAAAGAAAAATAAATGAAATGAGCCCTAAGATCAGCACAGATTTTTGCCTGAAAGTTCCACATAGATTGTGGCATAAGTAGAAGGAATACAAGCAGAAAATGGCATTTGTACTGAGTCAAGGAAACAGAGATCAGAGTTTGGGGAGGCTGAGAAAACCAAAATTTGTAAGAGTTTCTCCAAGGAGGAAAGTAGGCAGAGATAGAGCTCCATAAATCTGCAGAGAGCATTCTTGAGCTGCACACGTTAAGAGTGAGATTCTATAAGGCCAGGCAGAGAACAATTATCAGGCAGGTATAAGCTGAACAATTCCAAGAGCTCACATAGGGCTGGGAGACATGTATGTTCTCAGCAACTTCATTGAACATTCAGGGCTTTGAGTAGAGAGCTCAGAATGACCATGCCTTAGTAAAAGGGTTAAATTAGCCCCAAAATAAAGACTACTCCAGACTTGCCCAAATAAAGCTTTAAAATGAACCTAAAATGATTAATCTGATCCACAAGTAATTTAACTGCTTGCCAAAATAAAGCTCAACATGCCTCAATGGAAAATTTAAAACACACAAACACACCCAACAACATAACATTCAAGGCACTCAATCAAAAATTACAACACAAAAAGAAGACACAGAAACATCACCAGAAACAAAGCCAGTTGATAGAAAGAGTCCCAGAAATGACAGAGAAGATAGAATTAGCAGACAAAAACCTTTAAAATGCTATTATAAATATGTTAAAAGATTTTAAGGAAAAGATGAATATAATGAGAATAAAAAATACAAAAATAAAACAAATATAACTTCTAAAGCAGAAAAACACAATATCTGAAATAAAAAATTAAATCAATGAGCTTAGCTGCAGAAGAAAAGATCCATGAATTTGAAGACACAGTAATATAAACTATACAAAATGAATGACAGAGGTGAAAATAGTTAAGAAAAAAAAAAAAAAAAACAGATCCTCAGTGACCTGTGGAGCAGTATCTAGCATTCTAACACATGTATAATTAGAATCCCAGAAGAAAAACTACCTGGAGAAATGAAGACTGAAAAAATTCCAAATATGGTAAAAACTATAACTTACAGATCCAAAGAGCTAATCAAATCCCAAGCAGCAGAGGAAAAAAACACCCACACCAAGGCATATCATAATAAATCACTCAAAACCAGTGATAAAGAGGAAAATCTTAGTAGCAGAGGAAAAAAATAAACAACATCAATGAGAGTACACAGATCAAAATTTTCACTGACTTCTCATTAGAAACAATGTAAGCTAGAAAATAATAAAATGAGATTTTTCAAGGTGCTGAAAGAAAAGAAGTTGTCAACTCTGAATCCCATACCCAGTAAAAATATCCTTCAAAAGAGAAGGTGAGGGGGCCGGCCCGTGGCTCACTCGGGAGAGTGCGGTGCTGATAACACCAAGGCCACGGGTTCAGATCCCTATATAGGGATGGCCGATTAGCTCACTGGGTGAGCGTGGTGCTGACAACACCAAGTCAAGGGTTAAGATCCCCTTACCGCTCATCTTTAAAAAAGAAAGAAAGAAAGAAAAAAAAGTGAAGGTGATAGTTTCTGATAAACAAAAGGTGAGAGAATTATCTGCCAGCAGGACCGCACTACAATAAATGTTAAAGAAAGCTCTTTGGGCTAAATGAAAATGACACTAGACAGAAACTCAGGTTGTTTAAAAAAAATGACTGATACAGGAAAATGATCAATATCAGAAATAGTGAACATGTAGATAAATAGAAAACACTTTCTTGTTTTCTAAATTTCTTTTTAAAATAACTCACTAGAAAAGGTATAGTATAAAGTGACACACTGTACATATAGTAATCAGCAATGTTTGGGACATAGCAGCTTCTCAATAAATTAAGTGAATGAATGAAAGCTTAAAATGGTAATCTTTAGCTCCAAAGAAATCCAGTGCTTTTTCTATTTCTTATTCGGTCACAATGCTGGATAAGACAATACTCTAAGTTTAATGTTTGCAAAAGGATCAAAATGCATTTATATATTTTACAAAACAACACATACTTTAAGAAATTTTAATTTGAAGGACCTCAAGGAAAGTGTTTTGAGAAATATTCAGACAAGTTTTTCTCTCCTCCACATACATAGTTTCTTTTTCCCTCAGCATTTTCCAGGGTAGAAACAAAACTTGGCACATTCTGGAGAACATAGGAGTGGAGGAGGGGGCAGGAGGGACATTTGATACGAGAAGTAAGAATGGTTATGTTAGTCATTCTGGTTACTCCTTTTATATGTCAAACACAACCTTCAAATACTTGAAAATTACTTCGCTTCCAAAATCTTACTCTGAATGAGGAGGGATGTAGAACATTAGGAGGCTGCATTACAGTACGCTGACAACAGATGCTAACTGCTTCACTCTTACAGCAAAATTATAAAAACCACTTTAAAAGTGACAATTACTTACACAAAGCCAATGCTCCAATAGAAAGCGCACTATCTTCCAATTAAGATTTAACAGAAATATTTCTCCAGATGTAGAAGAGGGGTTAATCCATTTTAACGTAATTTAGATGCCAAAAATGGAAATTATTGTCCTCTTCTCTTTCTCCCTTTAGGTTTTATATTCTCAGCCTAGCAAATTTAAATAGCCCACTGCTTAGAATGAGATCCTGCTGCTTTTAATTTTCCCTGATTGTAAATGGCAGGTAAAAATTTGAAATCGCACGGTTCCAATAGGATGAGCAGTGCAAAGTGAAACAATTAGTAGCTGGACTTCAAAAAATGAACAATGGTGCTAAAAGCTCCAAGTAAAACATACCCAGATTCCCAGGTTAGTCACAGATACATTTTTCTTTTTCTAGGAAGGCCAACTACTTCAATTAGAATAATTGTCCATGGAAGAGGTTTGTAAAAGGCAAGTTTCTAACAGCCCAGTGCAGACAATAGAAATAAATTTAAGTCACTTAGTGAGGTCAAGAAAATGGAAAAAGGTAGCAATAAATGAAATAAAAATTATGCTAGCCAATCCTTCATTATTTCATAATGGAAAAAAATAGTAAAAAAGAAACATTAAAAATCACACTATTAAATATGATAAAATGTGTGCAAGATTATGACCGAATTTCAGAAGATGCAAAAGCTCTAAAATCTTGTTTCAATATAAATTATGAAAATTAATAGAAATAATAATAAATATTTTTTAAAGGGAAAATTAAAAGAATTAACAAACAATTTTAGTTCCAATGACCAACAGAGTGGGACTAGTACAGTATAAAGACACCTTGGCTCATAACTAATTCCACTATTTACTAGCTGTATAGCTATGTGACCTTGGGCAAGTCTCATCCCTGCTCTGGGCCCTAGACTTATCATCTGTAATATAGGGAGTGTCCAGCAAATATCATTAGAGTCTAAGGATTACCTGTTCATTAATTGTTGCTGTTGATTCTACCTATTACTCTTCTGCCCTCATGCGAAAAGCCCTACTTAGAAACTGATAATATCCAGCTTTTTAATCACCATCTGTAACTTCAATTGATGTTATCTTTGACTTCCCAACTAAACTGCCACTTTCTTTGAAATCTGACTCCTGTCTTCAAACTTACTAATACATCTGTGTCCACATCTCAAACCCATCTTCTGCCATCATCTGGTAGATTTAAATATCTAGGTGGAAAATATAAATCTTACACCTCCATAATCTCCCCATCTCCACTGACCCTCACTGCTACCACAATTGAGCCTCAACCTGATCTCTGTCACATTCCAAAATACTGAATATAGTGCCTCACTGTCTGGACTCTGTCCTTCCAGTTCTCTCATACCCTCATACCGTATGTGCTCTTTTATACTTCATTGTAAACTCTAGGTGTTTTATCTCCTACTTTCTTTAGGCTTGTAATTCCCTCCTATTCTAATTTGCCTATTTACAGCCTAGACTATTACATGAATTAATCACTCAATTCCTAGTCACCATATTCTCTCAAGACACCCACTCTCCTCAATACCACATTGCCTTCTCCACTGCTACAAACTGTGGGTGAATGCCACCCGAACGTTGCATCTATAGATTTCACCTGGGCTCTCAACATAACTCTTTCAATACCCACAGTAAGCCCCTCCACCTGTGTTTCTGATTCACAGCTCCCGACAGTAGACCATCCCTTCACTGGTTTTTTCTCCATCTGTAACACCTCCCTCCACTGGGCTCTCCCCATCAGCCACCCATCTCCAGAGGATAAATTCCAGGTCCCTTAGCCTCATCTTCTGCCTCTCCAGGCATTATACATTAAACAATATTGAACTCCTTGTACTTTCTAAACACACAATTGAGCTAAGTGAGCTACTGTTTGCAGCTTTAACTCTTCTACTATTATTACTGGCAATTAATCTTACTGACAATCATGGCAAGAAGAGAAACTTCTCTTTTTGATGGGGCCCAAAGGAAACCTGACTCTCAGCCATTTTTCAATAAGAGCCCAGATAAAAGTCTAAAAATCATCAAAGTTCATGCACAGATTGGGTTACAAA